ACAACAAATGTAAGGAGCATTCTTCTTGCTGACCATCACACTATTGTATCATGTGTTTTAGATTATAGTAATTTTTATCAGGGGTTTCCTGAGACCAGAACGTTATTTCAAGGGTTCCTCTATGTTGGAAAAGGTGAGAGAGGCTGCTCTAGGAGGTTGACTTTGTTTATATGTGCTTTCTATCCATTTCTCCTTTAGGCAGCAGTATAGCCCCGGGTTGCTTATTACCATAAAGCTGTGTCTCTAGAGAGACGTCTGTTTTTTATTTTTATTTTTTTCAGCCAACTGAGGTCCACCTTCACCTCCTTAAGGTTGACCAATGATTAAGGTGGACATTGAAAATATGGACTTTCTTATAGAAGATATTTTTAAAAATTCATGTACTGTTCATACATCCCTGGCACCAGTATCATTTCATAAACACACCATGATTATCCAAGCCAATACATGTTAGAGAAGCAATATTTCCCTAGAACCCCAGCTGTGTGGTATCTGCTACATATCTTCACAAGATGTCTGAGTATAGGATCCTACTCATATGATTATCATTTGGCTCATACAGTGGAGTAACAGAGAGAGGTTGCTTGTAAAGATATTCTGTAGGACCAGATCAAGAAATTTGAAGTGTGAGGTCCATGACATTTTCACGCTCTGGGTCTGTTAATTGCAGCTCCAAAAGAGCAGGAGAGGTTCAGACAGCTTAGAGACCAAAGTAGATATCTGTCTACTAAACTACTTGCCTACCTCCTTGTGTCTGTGACTGACTAGAGCTGGCCATATTTTCCTAATGAACCATTCAAACTTTGCCCAGTGTATAGCCCTGTCAGCTACCTTCTGTTCACCATCCCTTGATAAATCAATCAAATCTGGGGCTGGGCGAAGAGCGGCTGCATCCAGTTAGATGCAGCTGCTCTTTTGGTATATTGACAGCAGACAGGACTGGGTGTCAAAAGGCCATGTGGGAAATTTTTGTCAATCTACGCTGTATAACAAGGATATCAAGGAATCTGTCTATTTATTTTATTTATTTTTCTATGGCTAGCTTAAAATCACTGTGCCAGAGCTTCTCCATAGCAGCAGATCCCCAGCCATACACATTGTATTTATAGGTGGTGAGGAGGCGTCTTGTTGATTTCTCACCTTCTGTCAGTAGCCTCTAAAGCAGAATCCAAACAGTGATAACTAGGTTTTATCAAGGTATGCCTATAGTTATAGATGTACTTGTAATAATCTATGGCTGCTGTTTTGCAAAACATAGATATTGTTATTCATTATTTTTTGTGAATGTTACAGATACTGCGATGTGCAGTAAATATTAATAATGAAGATGAAGTTGACAAATACGTAGCTGATATAATACAAGCAAAGAAGATCAATGTGGAAAAGGATAAAAGGTTTGTGTTTTTATCTGGTATGTACCCTGTGTCAGCCTAGTGACAATGGAGAAGTGTTCGCCACCTGTTCGTTCATTACTCATGAGTGAACAGTTATTTCTCCTTCCCTGAACTGAGAGCTATATTCTACAATTATCTATTGCTGTCAGTCACAGCCAATGAGCCAATCAGGAGCGGGGGGGGGGGGGGGGCTGACCCGTGGCTCTGTGTGTGAATGGACATGCAGAGCCGCAGCTTGGAAGCGTGCTTCCTATGGGGGCACCCGACCCATTATTTAAAAATAAATAAAACCAAGAATTTATTATCCCGTTAACCCTATTTGGACTTTCAAATGTGCACTATAAAGTTGCCCATAGATGTAATATGATAGTTGTTTGACTGGGATATATTTAGCGAGATCAAGCAAAAATCTTATCACTGTTAGGGAAATAAATAAAAAAAAAAAGTAAGAAAATAAATGTTCCCTCCTGATAAGCTGGCATTAGCAGCACCCTCTCTCTGCATCGTTGCTTCTCCCCTTCCCATTCACATAAACTTGCAGACCTGAGCTTGCATATTTATGGAGCACTCTGCAACACAGCAATTTTTTTTGCCCTGATGGTTGTTGTACTGTCTGCACATCAAACTGCTGTGTAAAGTATATAGCTGACCACACATTACAATCTGATGCTAATTCTTTTAAATATTTAGTTGACTTAGAAACATTATTTTTTTAACATAACAATGGTTCACTTGTTTGTCCATCTACATGTCTAGATTCCGATCTATTTTATTACAAGCAAAAATGGTCAGTGGAGCCAGTCACTATAGAATGTTTAAAACATGCAGTTTATATTGATTATAAATATGTATATATGTAAAGGATTTATGTTTCCAATTTCTGCTGACAGTGATTGCTGTATTAATTGTTTTTTATTAATATTGCAGAATAGTGACAGAGGTCAACGCCTGGTAAATCAAAAAGCAGTGACAGAATTTAAAGCAGAACATTTTTTTGTTTTAATGCAAACACTCTGAAGTTACAAGTTTGTGTGCATGCATACTTGCAAAGCCACAGGGAAAATTCAGCAAAACATTTGTGCCACTTTACTGGCATTATAGTCCCTTTATAAAGTCTTGCACCAGATTTAGAAATGCCCTACTGCCAGTTTTGATAGTTTTACGTGCCAATGATTTATTAAGTTCTTAATAGCACCGCTTCGCCAAATTGCACTATGGTTGCACCAAATTGAAAAACCATTACCTGCAGTTTGTAGATAAGTTGGCATACAGAGACAGACGCAGTGCCTTTCTATGTAAGATGTGTAGCAGGGCAGCATGTTTGCTGTTATCTCCTTCCAACAAGTAGTACATGAATATGTTTCCAATTTCTGCTGACAGTGACTGCTGTAATAATTATTTATTAATATTGCAGAATAGTGACAGAGGTCAATGCCTGGTAAATCAAAAAGCGGTGGCAGAATTTAAAGCAGAACATTTTTTGTTTTAATGCAAACGCTCTGAAACTACAAATAGTGTGAAATTTGTTGCAGGCAAGACAGAATTATAAAGAGTGCTGTAGTCCCTTTTTATAAATTCACCAGTATGTGTCTTGTGACCTATCCAGAAGGTCTCCCAGCTGCTGTGCTAGGACAATGCAGGATCTATTATTCCCCTGTTTTCATAATCCAAAGGTCATAAGCTTTCCACACCTCCTTCTAAGTATGTATATTGGTATACGGGCAGGGGTGGACTGACAACTCATGGGGCCCCTGGGCAATAGGGGATCATGGGGCTGCTTTTGTCCTTGCCTAAACTCAAAAAAGCCTATGCAAAAAGGTACCAGGGGCATCTCATGGGGCCCCCTACTGACCCCGGGCCCTCAGGCAGTGCCCGAGTTTCCAAAGGTCTGTCCACCCCTGTATAAGGGGCAGCACCATCACTGCACCATTTCCACCTTATGCTCTGTCCTCTCGTTTAAAGTGGAGCTTAAACCAGAAATTTAAGTCCTGCTAGATCACGTCAGGCTGGCCCATTTTGCAGGTATAGCTGTGTAAAATATTAAAATTAGGTGCCTATACTGTTTTTAAAATTCAGTAATACACTGTGTTACCCGGCTCTACACATGCTCAGTTGCTCTCTGTTTTTTGGCACTGTACCTGAAGTGTGGAGGCGATCTGCTGACAGCCTAAAAATGTACTGCTGCTCAGGGGCTCTGGGCTTCAGCAAAATGTCAGACTCCAGCAAGAGGAAAAAGGAGCAAAGTCGGTGGCAATTTAGAGTACACACTAATTTTAACAGCATAATCATTAATGTGAAATATATGGTCCTTGCTGAACGTTTTTTTTTTTTTTTATCAGGTTATTATGGGTAAATTTCCACTTTAAGTGAAAGATGCATTTTTTAAAGCAAGTAACAGGTGACTGAAAAATAAGTTGAGCAGAATATTTTACCAACTTGAGATGTTTTTTTAACGTTAGTAATTAGAATCACTATATTATTTGCTCTGTACTTTACAAATATCCTGCCTATTTTACTGAATGTATATTTTCTTAGCCAGTTTACCAATCATGTTATCTTAAAGTGTCTGGAGAACCATACATAACATATGATCATTCTGCCCACACAAATATGTCAGTTCAGTAACATCACTCACACCAGCAATGGGATCATATGCCCATTTTATTATCTCTGGCATCTGATTCACTCTATGAGACTTATGTCTTAAGAGAACTTGCCTATACCAGCATAAATACATATCTTATAGTGGATCTCCTGTCATTTTTTTTTCCTGTTTTGGATGGAATGGAAGTTCTTCTCTCACTTCTTGTACTGTGACAGGAAAAAAGGATGCCCCATCAAAAGGGATACAGAAATAAAACCGATCTCCTTTACATCTAGTCCCAGTGGCAAAAATCCATCACTGTTAGGGAAATAAAAAAAAAAGTAAGAAAAAATAAATGTTCCCTCCTGATAAGCTGGCATTAGCAGCACCCTCTCTCTGCATCATTGCTTCTCCCCTTCCCATTCACATAAACTTGCAGACCTGAGCTTGCATATTTATGGAGCACTCTGCAACACAGCAATTTTTTTTTGCCCTGATGGTTGTTCTGTCTGCACATCAAACTGCTGTGTAACGTATATAGCTGACCACACATTACAATCTGATGCTACTTCTTTTAAATATTTTAGTTGACTTAGAAACATTGTATCTTGCAACAGACCAGTGAGGCTGCCTATCAATCCTGTCAACTGGTTATGAGGATAGAGGAGGCATCAAACTAGCTGCCAACTTTCTTTTCCAAGCTGGAGATTTAAATTAATGAGCACGCTCGGTATTGGGGCTTATGGTATGCCTTAAAATAAAGCTATGATCAGGTATCCATAAGTGCCTGCTATACACTTTCTGTGGCATCTTACTGGCATAGGTATAGTTTCACTTTAGTTTTCCATCATGTGTGAGATGAATATAAGAAGACCAATGAATTTAGGGTGCATTAAAAAAACACAGTGAACAAAACGTTAGTTGTGATGTTGGTACATTTTTACACGAGTTGCATTTTTTCAGCATCTGTTAATAGCAATGGTGTACTTGTTCAATGAGCTCAGTACTATTGCAAAGACACTTTGTGCAGGATTTTATGTTCTGTTATCAGTAGATGTGCTGTGCAGTTTATCATTTTAGATTATTACTGCTTCAGATTCCAGATAAACTTGAGGATATGCCTGTTGCAGATCTCTGGGTACAAGAAACTTTTTTTAGAGGTTGAAGATGTGAGAAAACAGCCATACAACTCTGACAACCCTGAGCACGAGCAGCAGCTTATGGAGGTGAACGGTAGCTATTTAGTTGTATGACTCAGTGGATGAAATACACATCCTTTCCATAAATGTGAGATTATCTTTCTGTTTCAGCAATACTGATTGGCAAGGCTGGTTAAAGACAACTGACAGTAGAATATCCTAATCCATGCCTCAATCATATCACTGTGCCATTGTGACCGGCCCATGATATTCTTCCTGATTTGGTAGAGTGGTGAATGTAATACATGCACAATAAACAGCCTTATTCTTTATCCATAAAAAAGGAAATGCTTCCATGTTCTGAAACACTTGTTAATGCCCCACTTCTAAACAACATTACACTACATTGGCTTAACTATGTTCTGATAAGGTCATTAAAGGCCACTTTGAGGAATTTAGTAGATGGGCAAATGTAACACATGCTTTAAGGTCTATTCAGATTGTAATTTAACATGAGTTTGAAGGAAGTACAAAGAAACGCAGAGGCCCTTCAAAGCTTCATTAAGTTTGTTTCGCATGCCAACTAACTTCTATGGGGAGAAAAGCAGTTCTGGCATGAGCAATTGTGAAACTAGACAATTGCATACACAATGTTATATCCCAAACTTATTTAAAGTATATGTAAACCCTCACCTTGTAAAACAACTCATTCAGTTTAAAATAAAAATGAAAGGCAAATTATTTGTGTATAGAGATAAAAAAAATTATAAAACAGGTAAAAAAAAGTGTGTGTGTGTGTGTGTGTGTGTGTGTGTGTGTGTGTGTGTGTATAATTTTTTTTTTTGCCTGTTTTATAAGTGATCCCATATCATTTGAGGATAGCACACTGAGTTCCTAGCACAGCTAGAGAATTGACCAAGGTGTGTTCTCCTGCCTAGTGTGGTCAGTTTTTTATTAGGAAAGCAGAGGGACTGACAGGCACAGAAGGGATTTCATACAAAGGAAGCAATACAAAGAGAACAGGATACTCTTTTTCATACAAGTAAATGGTACAGCAGGCACATATCAGGAATATGAAATGTTGGGTGTACATACTCTTTAATGCTCCTTCTATAAATGTTGGCAACCATGTGTCTCTGTGAGAATAAGGCTAGGTTCACGCATTACTATTGATGTGCAGTATGTTAAAAACACACATACATTCAAAATTAATGGGCTCTCATGCAGCTTTGCAGTCCATAAACTGGACCTGCACCTTTTTTTGATGGCACACTGCATTGCACCGCACAATGCGTTTCCTCACGGTGTAGCACGTCTACTGAATCGCATCACACCATCACAAGAAGTGTTCCCAAATTTTGACAGTGTAAGCAGGCCCAATCACTTGTCTCATCTAAAAGTCATTTAACTCTGTTCATCCAGTCTTGTGATTCTGTACAGCTAGCACAGCATAGCAAGGATGGTGACATCACCACTGTGTCACCTGCCTGCTTGTTTCATTATAAACAAGCATTGTTTTTAAGAACACTGCTGAAACAAGTGTATGCAGTGTGGAGTAAATGGCTGTATAATATTAGGGCTCGTTTACACTTGTTTTGATTTTAACACACATTAAAGTGCCTACCACTTCAGCGTAGGTTTTTGATGCTGTTTTTAAGACTTCTGTGATGCTTTTTTGAAGCTTTAACAAAGCTTGGCAAATGCCCCGTGTGTGTTGATTTTCTGTTTGTTTTAAAAGGGCCAGTAGAACCCCCCGGCTCCTTAGTACTCCTGCTCTGCAGATCCACAGCTGATTAGTGGGGGGGGGGGGGGGGGGGGGGGGGGGGGGGGGGGGGTCCCCCAGCTCTGCTGATCCCTTGCTCAGTAGTACCCCCAGCTCTGCTGATCCCTTGCTCAGTAGTAACCCAGTATGTAAACCCAGTAAACATAGGTTTACATACACCTTAATCATTTTTAATTAACACTTACCTAGAATGTAGTGTACATTCTTCCTTAGGAGTCCAATAGGAAAATAACACAATGCATTAAACATGCTACACTTGTCATTTTTCTTTACAGCTTTGGGACTTGCTTATGCCGCATGAGAAGTTGAAGTCTAGAATAACTAAACAGTGGGGTGACATTGGCTTTCAAGGTGATGATCCAAAAACAGATTTTCGTGGCATGGGCATTCTAGGACTGGCAAACTTACTGTAAGTGTCTCACACAGTTATCAAAATTCAACATTTTTTTTTTTTAGAAAACTTTTATTATTCTTACTTCTAGAGGAACTATAGAATTCTAATGTATTTTTTAGATATACTGTACATGTGAAAGATCAGCTTAATGTAAATATTACTATCAATTTTTAAAATTTTTAAAACCTTGTTTGTGTGTATAGTACATGGTGTACATGCTGACGGTCATATTTGTTCCATATATGAACATGCTCTGCTTCCTAGTTGTGCATTTTCTGATCATCCTTTATTACAGAGTATCTACCAGACTGGGTATGTCTGACTGACACCAATAGACTCCACAGTACCCATGTGTGAGACACCCACAGTGGCCATGTAATTTTGTCTGTTTCAGGAGGCTCCATTTTTTGTTCATGGCTAGAGAGACTATTTGTATTTATAATGCTGTCATTTAACAATGCTAGTATATACCCTTCATTCTGGGAAAGTGTATTTTTTTTTCACCAGAGAACCATCTAGCTATTATTATTATTATTATTATTATTACTACGAGTTTATATAGCGCCAAAGGGTTTGCTCAGCGCTGTACAATAGGGGGGGGACAATACATGGCACAGTACAACAAAGACAGACAGCGTACGAGGGGTAAGAGGGCCCTACTCTTACGAGCTTACAATCTAGGAGGGAGGGGGTAAAGGTACAGTAGGAAGTGGCTGGGGGGATGAAGTGGTAGGAGGAATGAGGGAGGATGGCCGTTAGGTGAGGGTGGGGTAGGCTTCCCTGAAGAGATGGGTTTTGAGGGAGCGCCTGAGTGTGAATAGAGAAGGCGACAGTCTGATGGATTGGGGCAGTGAGTTCCAGAGGATAAGGGAGGACCTGGAGAAGTCCTGCAGTCGTGCATGGGAGGAGGAGACCAGGGAGCAGGATAGAAGGAGGTCCTGTGAGGAGCGAAGGGTACGGGTAGGGTGGTACCTGGTGATCAGATTGGTGAGGTAGTCAGGGGCAGTGTTGTGAACGGCTTTGTAGGTCAGGGTAAGGAGTTTAAATTTGATGCGTTGGGCAATCGGGAGCCAGTGGAGGGAGAGGCAGAGGGGGTGGCAGAGGTGGAGCGGGTGGTAAGGTGGATGAGTCTGGCAGCTGAGTTCAGGATGGTCTGGAGGGGGAGAGCCTGCACTTGGGTAGGCCAGTGAGGAGGGAGTTGCAGTAGTCAAGGCTGAGATGATGAGGGAGTGTACTAGAAGTTTGGTGGTGTCTGGGGTGAGGAAGGAGCGGATCTTGGCAATGTTGCGAAGATGGAGCCTGCATGTGTTTGTGAGTGATTTGACATGCGGTTTGGAGGGAGAGGTTCGCGTCAAGAATGACGCCAAGGACTTTGGCTTGCGGGGCGGAAGTGATAGTGGAGTTGTTGGTGATGATGGATAGGATGGGGGGGGGGGGGGGTGTGGGCAGGGGGAAAGACGAGAAGCTCGGTTTTGGAGAGGTTAATCTTGAGGAAATGTAGCGACATCCAGTCTGAGATGTCATTTAGGAGGTGAGTGATGCGGGCGGAGATAGTGGGGGTGAGGTGAGGGGTGGAGAGGTAGATTTGGGTGTCGTCAGCATAGAGGTGATAGTTGAAGCCGTGAGATTGTATGAGTTTGCCCAGGGAGGAGGTGTAGATGGAGAAGAGAAGGGGTCCAAGGACAGAGCCTTGGGGGACCCCAACAGAGAGGGGGAGGGAGGGGGAGGTGGCACCATTGTAGGTGACACTGAAGGAGCGTCGGGATAGGTAGGATGAGAACCAAGAGAGAGCAGCATCTCCGATGCCAAGGGAGAGTAGTTTATTAAGAAGGAGGGGGGTGGTCAACTGTGTCGAAGGCCGCAGAGAGGTCCAGGAGAAGGAGGACAGAGTAGTCGCCCTTGGCTTTGGCGTTGAGTAGGTCGTTAGTGATTTTGAGGAGGGCGGTTTCAGTGGAGTGTAGGGGGACGGAAGCGGACTGTAGAGGGTCAAGGAGGTTATTGTCAGTAAGGTGGGAGCTTAGGCGATCGTAGACTAAGCGTTCAAGGAGCTTGGAGGTGAGTGGCAGCAGGGAGATGGGTCTGAGGTTGTTGGGGTCCGCGGGATCCAGGGAGGGCTTTTTGAGGATGGGGGTGATATGCGCGTGCTTTAGGGGGGAGGGGAATACGCCAGTAGAGAGGGAGAGATTGAAGATGTGGGTGTGAGGGAGCGGATGAGGGAAGAGGGGGGTGACCGGAGGGAGTTGAGAGGGGATAGGGTCCAGGGGGCAGGTAGTGAGGCGGGGGCTTTTGAGAGGACTTTGGCGACTTCCTCAGTAGTGGACAGGGCTGAGGGAGTGCAGTGCGGGGGGGGTTATGGTGGGGGGGGGCATTGGGAGAGGAGGGGGGCAGTGCGGTTGTGAGGGCAGAGGAGGGGGGAGATGAAGGGGTGACGGGGGCGAGGAGGGCTAGGTGGGGAGGTAGATTGCAAGTTGACGATGTGTCCTTACGGATAGCGTCAATCTTGTTTGTGGAAAATGGGTGGCAATTTCGTGGGCGGTGAGAGAGGTACTGAGTGGAGGAGGGGGGGGGGAGAGCAGGGAGTTGAAGGTGGAGAAGAGTCGGCTGGGGGGGGCAGGAGGAGAGGGTGTTTATTAGGTTAACAAAGTAGGCCTGCTTGGTGGCGTGGAGGGAGGAGGTGTAGATAAGAAATGCAGATTTGTAGAGGGAGAAAGTATGAGGGGACCTGGTTTTGCGCCACAGTCTCTCCAGTGCGCGACTGCGACGTTTGAGGGTTTTTTAGTGCTGTCGGTCTGCCAGGGTTGAAGCGGTCTGAGTTTGGTTTGATGATGCGTGTGGTAAGGGGTGCCAGAGAGTTAGGGCAGCTTGACAGTGAGTCATTGTACAAGGTGGTGGCTAGGTCAGGACATGACAGTGAGAGGATGCTGTCGTGTAGGCAGTCGGCGGCAGAGTGGAGGGGGGCCGGGTTCAGGTTGCGGAGGTTGCGGTGGTGATGGTTTGGCGTTTTTGAGGGGGGGAGTTGGGGGAAGGGGAGATGGAGAAGGTGATGAGGTGGTGGTCGGAGAGAGGGAAGGGGGTGTTCGCGAACTGGTTGAGGGTACAGAGGTGGGAAAAGACGAGGTCCAGGGTGGTTCCTCCGAGGTGGGTGGAGGATTGAGTGTGCTGTGTGACGCGCGAAAGAGGAGGTTAGGTGGAGGAATTGGGAAGTAGCCGGGGTGTTGTCGTTGATGGGGGATGTTGAAGTCCCCGAGGATGATGGTGGGGAGCTCAGAGGAGAGGAAGAAGGGAAGCCAGGCGGCGAAGTCATCCAGGAAGCGGGCTATGGGTCCGGGAGGCCTGTAGATCACTGCGATCCTTAGGGGGGTGGGTGAGAAGAGTCGGATGCAGTGCGCCTCAAAAGGAGGGGAAGGAAAGAGAGGGTGGGTTAGGGAGGACCTGGAAGGTGCTAAGCGGTGACAGGAGCAGGCCGACACCACCACCTCTGCGATCGCTCAGTCTTGGTGAATGGGTCCAGATGAGACCTCCATGAGTGAGTGCCGCAGGGGAGGTGGAGTCGGTGGCCTGGTACCCAAGTTTCGGTGATTGCTAGGAGGTTGAGGGAGCGAGAGATGAAGAGGTCATGGATGGCGGTAAGCTTATTGCAAACCGAACGAGCATTCAGGAGTGCAACCGAGAGAGGGGGGATAGATTTGGGGAGGAGGGGTACTTGTATGAGGTTGAGGGGGTCGCGTCGGCTGGCGTGAGCAGGGGGGGCTCTAGGGGGGGTGTGAGGTGGTGAGGGGCCAGGGTTTGGGGAGATGTCCCCAGCTGATATGAGAAGGAGGAGGGTGAGGAAGGGTGGCGTGGGAACGGGGGGTGTAGAGCGCTTGGGTCTGAAAGTGGTGGCAAGTGGTGGGTCAGCGGGGGAAGTGGAGTAGCAGGAGGAGGTGGTGGGTGCCGTAGTGGGGAGAGGGGAGAAGTGAGGGGGCGCGATATAGAGCTGCTTAGCGGGGGGTGGGTGGGTAGAGGAAGGCGGTTTTAGGGATGGAGGAGAGGAGGACAAGGAGGAGGAGCGGTGCGGGCGGCATGTTGGGGTGAGCGGGGTGCAGGAAGGGTCAGGGTGGGTGAGGGGGTGCTGGTCAGGGATGGCGAAGCAGTGTCCCGAAACGCGTAGTGGGAGGTGGCTGATAGTCCCAGGTGGGGTGGAGGGCAGGGGATCCCTGGTGGGATGGTGGCCGTGCTATCCCTGGTGGGTTAGTAGCGATCCCTGGAGGGATAGTGGTTAGGGGTCCCTGGTGGTTAGGTTTTCTGGTGGGGTGGTGGGATCCCTGGTGGCTGGCGGTGGGATGGTGGTTGGGCTCCCTGATGGGTAGTGGGTGCCCTGGTGGAGTACCTGATGTCCTGGAGCGTCGGGGTGGAGGTGGATCCCTCCTATGTTAGGAGGACCGTTAGCTATGTCTAGTCCCCAAAAAAGGCCTGGAATTCTATATTATGAACACAGCTCTATGAGCTACCAATGACCTGGGAAAATGATTCTGTATATCAAGCCAGTTGCCCCGACGTTTGGAAGTGTGGTTTTTAATAATGTGTCCTCTTTTAGAAAATATAATCAGATAAGGTTACTTTCATGTTTTGTAGTAAAATAAAGTTTGTCAAGATATATTTGTTTTTGTTAAAAGCACATGTAAAGAAGAAAATGAGGGCCAGAACAAATCTAAATCTTGTAAATGAACTTATGGAATAAAAAAACATGTATGTGTGTGCGTATGTATGTATGTGTATAATAATATATATATCTCCTACATTCCCTTTTTAGTCATTAAGTGTACAAATTAGTGCAATCAATGAAGCAATATATAAACAAATGAGTATAACAAACAAAAAAGTCCTTCCGGTATAAGTCAGTGTGTCAGTGATGCGATGCTGAAAACCACAACATAACGTGTCCAGTTCCACACAGTGCTCTGCGGTCCAGTGAATGTTCCACCACCACTATGCCCTCACCAGAATGCTACTTGTAAAGTAGCAATAACAGGAGATCTATACAGTGAGGAACAGAAGTATTTGAACACCCTGTGATTTTGCAAGTTCTCCACTTAGAAATCATGGAGGGGTCTGAAATTCACATTGTAGGTGCATTCCCACTCTGAGAGACAGAATTAAAAAAAAAAAAATTCAGGAAATCACATTGTATGATTTTTAAAGAATTTATTTGTCTTGCACTGCTGAACATAAGTATTTGAACACATAAGAAACAGCAAGAATTCTGGCTCTCAAAGACCTGTTACTGTGCCTTTAAAAAGTCCACCTCTACTCCACTCATTAATCTAACTTAGTAGCACCTGTTTGAGCCCTTTAAAGACATCTGTCCACCCCACAGTCAGTCAAACGCCAACTACTACCATGGGCAAGACCAGAGAGCTGTCAAAAGACACCAGAGACAGAATTGTGGACCTCCACAAGGCTGGAAAGGGCTATGGGGCAATTGCCAAGCAGCTTGGTGAAAATAGATCAACTGTTGGAGCAATTGTTAGAAAACGGAAGCGGCTAAAGACGACTGTCAGTCTCCCTCAGACTGGGGTTCCATGCAAGATCTCACCTCGTGGGGTATCGCTGATGATAAGAAAGGTGAGGAATCAGCCCAGAACTACAAGGGAGGAGCTGGTCAATGACATGAAGAGAGCTGGGACCACAGTTTTAAAGGTCACTGTCGTAGAACATTACACCGTCATGGTTTCAAATCATGCATTGCACGGAAGGTTCCCCTGCTCAAGTCATCACATGTCCAGGCCCGTCTGAAGTTTGCCAATGACCATCTGGATGGTCCAGAGGAGGCATGGGAGAAAGTTATGTGGTCAGATGAGACCAAAGTAGAACTTTTTGGTCTAAACTTCACTCGTCGTGTTTGGAGGAAAAAGGATGAGTTGCATCCCAAGAACACCATCCCTACTGTGAAGCATGGGGGTGGTAACATCATGCTTGGGGGTACTTTTCTGCAAAGGGGACAGGATGACTGTACTGTATTAAGGAGAGGATGAATGGGGCCATTTATTGTGAGATTTTGAGCAACAACCTCCTTCCCTCAGTCAGAGCATTGAAGATGGGTCGTGGCTGGGTCTTCCAACATGACAACGACCCAAAGCACACAGGATAACCAAGGAGTGGCTTTGTAAGAAGCATATCAAGGTTCTGGAGTGGCCTAGCCAGTCTCCAGACTTAAATCCAATAGAACATCTTTGGAGGGAGCTGAAACTCCATGTTGCTCAGCGACAGCCCCGAAACCTGACAATTCTAGAGGAGATCTGTGTGGAGGAGTGGGCCAAAATCCCTGTTGCAATGTATGCAAACCTGGTCAAGAAGTACAGGAAAGGTTTGACCTCTGTAATTGCAAACAAAGGCTTCTGTACCAAATATTAACACTGATTTTCTCAGGTGTTCAAATACTTATGTTCAGCAGTGCAAGACAAATAAATTCTTTAAAAATAATACAATGTGATTTCCTGAATTTTTTTTTTTTTTTTAATTCTGTCTCTCAGAGTGGGAATGCACCTACAATGTGAATTTCAGACCTTCATGATTTCTAAGTGGGAAAACTTGCAAAATCGCAGGGTGTTCAAATACTTCTGTTCCTCACTGTATATTCCACTCTCCAGTATCCGTAGGACAGGTAACCTGAAGACGTGCGTGTGCACGAAACACGTTGGATGGAGCCAACATGCTGATGTCACGCCACTGTATCCACTCTCTGAAACCGCGCCCATTTTGGTATGTGGTAAGCTTCTTCTATGTATTGATGTTTCCACGTGGAATGCCTTTATATAATTTTAATAAATACTACACTATAAATAGTCTTTTGGGCTCCGTGTGGTGAGCTTTTCCTCCTAGGACGTTACCTGTCCTATGGAGAATGGAATATATAGATCTCGTATTATTGCTGCTTTACAAGTAGCATTCTGGTGAGGGCATAGTGGTGGTGGAACATTCACTGGACCTCAGAGCACTGTGTGGAACTGGACACGTTCTGCTGTGGTTTTCAGCATCACATCACTGACATGGACTTATATTACAAGGACTTCGTTTGTTATACTCATTTGTTTATTGGGTTGCTGAAAGTTGTTTCTGAATAATTGTGTGTTTTGCCTGTTTTTAATAACTAGAGAAACTGAAAATAAAATGAATATGATAGATGCAATTGCTTTTGCTGGTACAAATTTTTGATCTAGCCACAGATGCAATTTAAAAATCCAAGCAGTGAACTCCTGAACTGCTTACTTGCTTTTTGGGTCATTGACTAACTTAGTAGAGATTGGTTCACAGTCATGGTGCTTAAAGCTATAAATACAGATTGACATATTGGGGGAGATTTACTAAAACTAGAGCATGCAAAATCTGGTGCAGCTCTGCAGAGAAACCAATCAGCTTCCAGGTTTTTTTGCTCAAGCTTAATTGAACAAGCTGAAGTTAGAAGCTGATAGAATCTGGTATAGCTGTGCATGGTAGTCAGAGTGCTCCGGTTTTAGTAAATCTCCCACATTGTGTTGGAAAAATAGATATATATTATGCTTCCTTGTAACTGCATACCTTTTTTTTTTTTTTTTTTTTTTTTTTTTTTAGCTGGCTGATTTTTATCTGCATGATTTTTTTATGTTGTATCCTTTTGATTCCTCAAGTATTACAATACAGTATTAAAAATACACACATTATCAAATATAGATAACTAATAGTGGGGGAAAGGAAGAGGGGTAAATTGTTGTAGTCCTATATAAGAAGGGAAAAGCCAACAAATCACAGATTCAAACTGTTGTGTTGCTTCATTGCATATTGTAATGCTGGAACAGCTGTCACCTACTGTAGCACCTTAGTGATTTCACTAGATGGCAGTAGTAATCACCAATATGACTGATAACATGCCGGGATCTTGTAGGGATGTATTTTTTCCTGGTAATGTTATATATAAAAATTGAAAACAGTACTGTGCAAAAGCTTTTGAAAAAATGTGGTAAATTTATGCTATTTACAAATCATGCAATGGATAGTTTTTATGTATCAACTGACAACCTACCAAGTGCATATGCAATATTTGGTATGTTCACCCTTTGCCTTTAAAGCAGCATCAATTCTCCTAGGTAAACATGCATACAGTTTTTTTAAGGATCCTGATAGGTAGGTTGTTCCAAACATCTCCTGAGAACTAACTGCAGTTCTTCTGTGCATTTAGGCTGTCTCAGTAGTTTCTGTATCTTAATGTAACCAGAGAAAAGCTGAATGATATTGAGATCAGGGCTATGTGGGGACCATGCCTTCTCTTTTAAGAACTCTGTTGTTCTTTTTTTTGCTGAGGATAGTTTAAGACTTTGGCTGAATGTTTGAGGTCATTATCTTTCCCTAGAATGAGTTTGGGACTGATCAGATGCCTCACTGATAGTATTACATAAAGGATAAGTATCTGCCTGTAATTTTCAGCATTAAGGAGACCATGAATTCTGACCAAATACCCAGCTCCATGTGCAGAAATGTAGCCCAGAACTTACAAGGAACCTTCACCGCTGTCTGCAGACACTCCTCTTTTGGAGCGTTCCAGGCATTCTTCAAACAAACTGCCTTATGTTAGTCATTTTGGACTTATCGCTCCAGAGCATCTTCTGCCATGTTCAGAAGTTCTTGTGTTTTTGTGCATGGGTGAGTCATTTGACCTTGTGTCCACATCAGAGATACGGCTTTCTATCCACAAGACTTCCATGAAGACCACATCTGAGCAGACTTCAACAGACTGTAGATGGGAGTACCAAGGTCCTGCTGGTTTCTCCTAAGTCTTTGCAATTGGAAAATGTCCAGTGCCACCATAAGCGAAGGGAAATCGGCATGATTTGTCTTTCATCTGCTGCACTAAGTTTCATTGGCCAGCCATTGCGCTTTTGGTCCTCAACTCTATGCTTCTGCAGAGGAGCTTAAACAGAACATCTGGAAACACTGTCTTCCTTAAAATTGGTGCCTAAGAGAGACCTTGTTGATAGAGTAAGAACTCCCCGTGCTGTGCTTAGTCTTGCCATTGTGTGAAAGATTGTTTGTTTATAATGCATTGTCTTCAGCCACTTCAACTTGTTAGTAGAACATTGCTTTTCCTTACCCAATTTTATTCCTCCTACACTCTTTTGATTTAAAAAGTCTCTTTTAACCTTACAGGTGCCTAAAACTTTTGCACAGTTTTGTGTGATATAGATAGATCTCTGTCTGTGTATGTATGTATATATACTCTGTTTATATAAATGGTGCTGTTAAGATCCTGTCAATGTTAACTTTCTAGGACACCACAAAAATAGCGAGGATGCTGAATCTTCTAGTCTACAATCCAAGGAACATCCAAATCTTTACATGTCTAGAATTTATCCTTTTCTCTCGTAACCATTCGTCCAAAGACACATATTTCAAAAGCTATAGTGCCTCATCACTTTGCATCTGTTTCAGGTACTCGTATGCAATAGTTGGGATCAACCTAACAGAAATGGCTTACAGTTTACTCAAGAGTGGGGCCCTGAAGTCTCACTTCTATAATATGGTTCCTGGCTTTCCTGAGATTAAAGTGCTTCCATCAGTTTTTCTGTAAGTATTTCTGAATTACATCATAATATCTCTGGGAAAATGTGCAAGTCATATATTGACTTCTTGGCTTCTGATTTTGATTTTTAGAGCACTGTGACATTATTATAATAATAATTATTATTATTATTATATAGCACTTTCAATTTACACAGTGCTATTTACGAGAAAACTAACTTCCCATATAATGTGTACATTTATTCTATTTGAATCACTGTGTACTTTTATTCCAGGTTATCTTTTGTATGAATTTGACAAGTTTTGGTTTAACGAAGAGCCTGAGAGCATAATGCATTTCAACCAATACAGAGAAAAGTTTCACGACCAGGTCAAGCATCTCCTCAGCAATCCTGAAATCATTCTCACACTTTAACAGAATCAGACTGTCCATAAGTTATGAATTCTAGGCACTTGTTACTGTCTTATTTAAAAAGAATCCACAAGCATATTTCATGTATGTAGTTTTGTCATTTTGTCTTTTTTTTTACTAAAGCTAATGGACAATCAATATTTTCATAGGTTCATACAGAGAAAACAAAATCTATATTATAGCCATCTATGGCTGCGTACACACTATATGAATTTTGGTTCCTGAGCAAACGGAACAAATTCGCTAAGTGGGTGGCCTTGTCGGCTGCCTTCCGCCTGACACCCTTTGATTGAAAAACCTTAGGAGTTGGGCAGAAATTTGTCATCCAAAAAGCAGATACATTCAGTCTGATGTTCCGGTATTCTGACAGGTGCTGACTGTGACTGTCAGAATACGGTAGCCCACAGCAGGAGATTCCTCCATCTGAACTGCATAGCAGCATGGATGGGGAGATCTGATAGATTATTTTTGTTCATAAATGAAAATAATCTAAGTGTTTATACTCCAGCTGAAGTCAATTCATTCACAGTAGTTGTGTTCTTCAACTGGAGCGCTGTTCAGTGGCATTATCAAAACCCACACTTATAACAACAATGCAATCCCATAGCAAAGCCTTCTATAAACTTTAGATCTCAGCTGGCTGTGTATGCATGACTTGGCCACCCAATTACCTGTCCAATGGAAGTTCACTCTAGTAGTATGCCAGTATTACAAAGGGCAAACTTGTGTGTTTGTGCTTATAAATGGGGAAGGAAGGAGGAAGATGCTCCCAACACTAGTTTTTGGTGGGGAAATGGTAGTGATTTACCAGGAAAATCATTTCTGGTTGATTCTCTTTTCTTTAGAGCAAGCTTGGCCAGGGAGCATTAGATAGAATATAAGCCTACCTACCAAAATATGAAAGTTCCCTGATCTAACTGCAAACAGCTGGATCAGTTGAACATTCTCCAACATCTGTAGACACTTTTACACTGTTAATTGGAGAGGCATCTGGCTTTTAACTTGATTTTCTGTTTAAGTTGGGCACCTTCTGAATTTATCAGTCATAGATGATTTAAAAATGGAATTCGACTACTTTTTTAGGGCTCGTGCAGTAAAGTAGAGGGATTCCCTCTGCATGTTTATAGTCTACAGCTGAAGGTTAATCCTTGCTGTTTAAAGTACTTGGCAGGCTGAAATCCATCTAGTGGTATAGAGTGGATTTTATAAAGTGTCTCTGTATTTTTGGTTATGCTGCAGTACCAGATTATACCAGCAGATAGTGCTGCAAGTTAAAGCTGTAATTGCAATTTTTTTTGTCCCAAGAAAATCTATACGTTACAGAAAATGAATCTTTTCTTTTACTGCACTGAACAGTCCCAAACTAAAAATGAATAGAAAAGTTCTGCTAATGTTTCATGTTGTCATGTGGCATTGCTACAGTGGGTCTGTTTGGTGGTATTTACTTTAGAGGATTGGTTCACCTTTTGAACATGTTACATGTTACACCCATATTTAGAGGGTTACAGGTAAGCTGTTCAAGCAGACTCCTCTCTCCTACTTGGCCTCCCCCTCTCTATGACTGCAGGTATGGATTTCTCTCCCCCACAGCTGCTGTCACATTTGAAATCGACTCCTCCTGCATAGCTGCATCATTCATTCACAGGTATCTGTGAATGCGATCTATGAATGAAGAAACTTTAAGTCCCGTATGCCACCACAGCAGATGTGCCGATTAGCATGCTCGTGTTCAATTGACACTTCCTACAGCTCTGAAACTGACAGCCTAGCCTGTACAGAGGTATAAGCACAGAGCTGTAGGCAGTGTCTGCAGGAGCCTGACATTGCACCCAGAATCCACTGATCACGGCTGCACTGCTCTCCAGGTTCCTGTGAAAAAAATAACAAATGCACATTTTTTTAATCTGCAAAAATATGTACATTTATTTTCTTTTTTCATAAAAGTGAGGTTTGCCTTTTAAGCTTAATTGAAGGTGCCACATAATGTTTTCTGTTTTTCCAAGAGACTAAGGGCACCCTTTACCCAGATGTCTTTTCTTTGTGTATTTCAATCAGGGGATATGCTCTAACATATGCAGCTGCTTTCCACAAGGCCATGTATGTATATGTATGTGAGTCACTGGGGCTTTACCCTGTACATTGGCAAATACCTTTTTATTCCTTTTTGAATTAGTTTTTGAAGTAAAAAAAAAAAAAATTTAAAGTGATTTGCAACCCAGTGATCTCTTGTCTAGAATTTACTGGCATAGACCATGAACAGTGCTGGCACATTCGTTTTCAGAGCAAGAGCTCAGTTCTTTCATTGAAAACAAGTGCTAAAATGTGTCCTAGGATGTCCCTCATCCATAACCTGACCCTAACAATTTGATATAGTCACCACCCTAACGCTCAATTTAACACTTAATCTGAACTCTAAATCATAACCTATCACTTAGTATTAATATACTCCCTAAACCCTAAACTTGACTCCAACACTGGTTACCCACTGATGGTTAGACTTCCCTTTTGGATGGCAGAACTATCAGCTGCTGAAACATACCAATCGCACCAAGTAGAAACATTATGGTGCCAAAAACTAGTGATAAGCTGGACTGCTTTCTGTCTATGCTTACAGAGAATCCAAAAGTGGTCTAGAGACACTGTTAAAGGATATCTATAGGAAGCATAACTAGAAAGGACAGTGAGAGGTAGATGTAAAGTGTTCATTACACTTACCTCTGTGCTGTCTTTTCAATGGGAACGTTGAAAACTGTGCGGACAGTTCAGCTATACTGTTGGTTTGTGCACTCTACCTTCTCACTGGTGTTTTATGAATGAATTACTCCCTGTAAGAAATCACTATTTGCAGCAACTAATTTCTTTATAGAACACATGGGAACTGAAGCATTGATCTAGCAATCTCGATATGCTCTCTGCATAGTTATTGGAGATGTAGAAGACGGCATGGAATTGAGTGTGATTAACCCTTTTACACTTGCCACTCACTGTCCTTTCTAATCATACTTCCAGGCGATATTATTTAATTCTGGCCTACTAGAGAATTCTGCATAGGGATGGCTGTAAGCGGACCAATCAAACAACAAGCCATATAATACTAATTTTGAGCACCGCTTTTTGATAATCTTGCTGTTTGTTATTTACTAGAACTGAATAATTTGTGCAGTCAGTCACTTCATATCACACCTGGAAGCAATTCATGTAATGATGTTATTGTTCATAAGATATTTGGCAAGCCTTAGGTTTTTAGAGCTGGAAGGCTTGCTAGTAATGCACTATTTACACCTACTATTCCGCACTTCTTACTCTTACTGTTTCGCACTTCATCTCTATACAGCTCATGCATTATAGGGAATCTGCAGTGTGTGTTTCAGCACCCTACATCTAATACTGAAAGTGTCACTGTCCTATCAATCAAAGCATAGTATATTGTTCTGCATTACTTCTTATGTGTGACTGGGTTCACAAAATTCTGAGAAACATTTCACTTTTACTGGAACTAACAAAAGCAGAGACCATCCTTCACATACAATTGTAATGAAAATACTACACTTATATTTAAAAAGTATATATATATATTTTAAAGTGTTTAAGAGAAAATATTGATTTAGATCTCTAGCTCAAATCAAATTCTATTATTTGGTACACATCCATTGCTGGCAGTGGATTCTAATGTTTAGCATATTGGTACTATCCATACTTCAGCTTTGGGACTGTATATACTGGGGACAGATCCAATGTTTACTGTATTGCACTTCATGCTTACCATTGATGTGTTTTATAAATTTGTGTATTTTTGTGGTAACCAAAACAGATTTCAGGATAAATATTTGATTTAGCGTTTAGCGTGTTCTCAATGTATGTTCATACGTCTTACGTTCCTACAGCATTTAAGGAGACCATGGAAGAGGGAACGGTTTGTATTAATTTTTAGACTTTTTTTTTTTTTTTTACTTTAATGTAAGACTTTAGGCGTTCTACTTCATTTCCTTTAAATATCTGATTGCTTATTTACATGACTAGTTGGCTTGCTTCTGGAGGGGGTGTGGTGATATTCATTTTGTGGGAACAATTAGTCCTCACCCCACCATTCTGAGAAGTCATTTGTGCCCTTTGCAGCTGTTGTGCGACTGTGAAAAAGCTGACCAGAGCTAAGTTTGGGCCAACAGGGCATTCTTTACGTCAATGGTGGGGTTGGTTTGGCTGATCACTTCTGAGAGTCACTAACACACTAAAATGTTTTTTCCTATTTTCTCTGAAAGCAGAAAACCCTTTTTAAAAGATATCAAACATAGACGAAAGAAAATGTTTTATGAGCTAAACCATATCTTTGAAAATTCCCTTTTATCATACCTATATTAAATTGTACATTGTTGGCGTGAAGGCATTTATACAGTGCCTTTGAAAAAGTATTCATACCCCTTGAAATTTTCCACATTTTGTCATGTTGCAACCAAAAACATAAATGTATTTTATGTGATAGACCAACACAAAGTTGCACATAATTATGAAGCGGAAGGAAAATGATAAATGGTTTTCAAACTTTTTTACAAATTAAATATCTGAAAAGTGTGGCGTGCATTTGTGTTCAGCCCCCCTGAGTCAATACTTTGTAGAACCACCTTTTGCTGCAATTACAG